CTGAAACTCTGAAACTGTTAGAAGAAAACATTGGCCAAAACCTACAAGATATAAGTGTAGGAAAGGATTTTTTAAACCAGACATCAACTGCTCAGGAAACAAGGTCAAGAAACAACAAATGGAACCTCATTAAAATAAAAAGTTTCTGTACATCAAAAGAGACAACCAGGGAAGTGAACAGAAAACCCACAGAATAGGAGAAAATCTTCACCAGCGACACATCTGACAGAGGTTTAATATCCAGCATACATAACGAACTAAAAAAACAGAGAATCAAGACAAGAAGCAACCCAGTTAAAAGATGGGCTAAGGAGCTGAACAGAGAGTTCTCAAAAGAAGGAGTAAAGATGGCTAAGGAGCATCTTAAAAGATGTTCAACATCACTAATAATTAGGGAAATGAAAATTAAAACCACTTTAAGATTTCATCTTACCCCAGTCAGACTGGCTAAGATCAAGAGAACAAATGATACCAAATGTTGGAGAGGATGTGGGGAAAGGGGAACACTCATCCACTGCTGGTGGGGCTGAAAACTTGTTCAACCCCTATGGAAAGCAGTGTGGAGAACTCTCAACAAACTACAAATGAACCTACCATTTGACCCAGTTATACCAACCACTCCTTGGCATTTACCCAAAGGACTCTTCCTATCGCTGAGACACTTATACATGCAAGTTTGTTGCTCTTTTCACAATACCTAAGAGATGGAAGCAACCTAAGTGCCCTCAACTGACAAGTGGATAATGAAAATGTGGTTCATTTATATGATGGAGTTTTACTCAGCAGGAAAGAAAGATGAAATCATGAAATTTGCAGGTAAATGGATGGAACTAGAAACTGTTATACTAAGTGAAGTAACACAGACTCAGAAAAAAAATCAACATATGTTCTCCCTCACATGTGAACCCTAGAACCAAATCCTGATAAGTGAGTATGTATCCAGACGTAACTACAGGAACCAGGATAATGGAAAGGAACCAGAGAGGTAAAGGAAAAGAAAGAATCTGAAAGAGAGGAAAAGTAGGAAACATTAGTTAATAAGGGAGATATGGCTAAAAATTGGGTTAGTTTAAGGGAGGTGGGAGGGAAGGGTATACAAGGAACCTAGGGGATAAAGGGAAAGAAGGAGCTCAAGAGAGGTAGGACCATAGGAGAAGGGTATTATTAAGGGAGAAAGGGGGAAAATGGGGGCACCTTAATAGGGCAAACTATGATGGAGGGGTGAGACAATCTGAGAGATAAATAATGCCTAGCTAGTTTTAAAAACCAGAGGGAACCATATTAGCCCAACAACCTACTGACAAATTATACAAACAAGATCAAGAAATACATGTTTAGGTAAGGTTTATCTGAGAACAATTGGTCTTTGCCCAAGATTTATCTACATGACACACAGTAATTAAAAGTACCAGACTGGTGGAACTAACCTTCTTGGATGTTTAACAGACATACTTTGAGGCCTATACTAATTTGGACAGAGGGACATAAAGGACAGTTTTTGTTCCTTGTCCTCCTAGGTTGACTAGTTCCAGGGGACTATGAGCATCTCCCAAAATGTCCTGTAATTGTAGTGGGTCACCTGTCCTCTTGATCAAGGAGGCCAAGATGGATTTGAACCACTGCCCAGTCTACAAAGAGGAGGAGGGTCAACACAGAGGAATCATTTCCTCCACGCTTCTAAGCGAAGCCAGCCATGGTTGAGTAGGACCTTTGACTTATCTTCACATAGGTGGAACTGGTAAAAGAAAGGAGCCAGGGGCTCCTTCCAAGCCCGTATGACCCCTGAGGAACAGATCCTCAAACAGCCTTAAGAGTAAAAATAAATTGGTTTATCTGGGCCAAATCTATGGCCTTAAACACCCAAAACAAAAGTATAACCAAAGATTAAGGCAGCCAATATAATTTTTAAGAGTCTATATGTATAGCTAAAGGCTACATAACAAGCAACAATGCCAGATAGGAGGTACCTTCTTTTGAGTTGTTGGCCAGGGTGGCCCAAGGGACTCCCATATAGTAACCCAGCATTGAACTGGGAAAATGAACAGCAGGCCCCAATCTTATCTAAAGGAATATTGGCAACTGATTGCTGCTAGACAATGAACAGCTGATCTTCCTAAAACAAAGACCTCTAGATAGGCAGACTAGATTCACCAGATGGACAAGTAGTGGGGAATGGCTGGGGGTGCTGGCAATGCAGCAGACAGTAGCAGGGATATCAGAGTATAAGGACTCTAGTGGGGGGAGGGAGGCTATGGGAGGGTGCCATCT